CTAGAGCGCCAGAAATTTAATCTCAAAATCTAAACATTTCTCTGATTAAAAATTTTACCCCAATATTTGTGCCTTTCTCCCATAAATACGGCTTACAGGATCTTTTTAATTAACGTATTTCCAAACTTGTTCCAACGGTTTTGGCCTTTGACTTTCCACCTTAGAATTCATTTCGAAAGCGATCGAAAATTTTCGGCCTGGATAAAAGAATAAAAAGGATGGAAAAGGAGGAAAAAACGGACACAGACAAGAATCAGTACGCAAATGCGAGGATCCGTTCAAGGAGACCTACTAGTTTCATTCTGCTCCGACGCGAAACTCTGGTGGATATCCTCGTTACTATTTCTCAGTACACTGTAAATGCTGTCCACTTCAGCAAGTTGCTCCAGCACCGGGATTATATCTAGCAGTTCCATATCGTTCACATCATCAAACCACGTCTGCACTGGGATCTAAAAATCGCTTCCTCAGATCATTTCTGATCTACAAATCTCCAAAAAGAAAACAAGACTGCATCTCAATTTCGCGCCTTCTCAGCAAAGCAAAATTTCTACCTTCAACTGTCTTTTTCCCTCCTCACTTTCACCCACAACTGCTTAAATATGATAATTTTTATGCATTTTAGCATTAAATCTGCCACTGCCGACGCGTCGGTTTTCGCTCATCATTTTTCTTTTGAATTTTTTTCTTCGAATTTTGTGCCCCTCTGGACAAACAGTGCCAATTCAATTTTTCCCAACTTTTCTAGTAGGCTCTTCCTACAAGAAATTAGCAAGCATCATGCCTGGTAGGTGGAAAACGAAAGAAAATTCTTCCTTCGTCTAGTTACATAAAACATTGCTAACACCTAAGTGTTCAAATCCTTCTGGCGAAAAACCGATTTATTAATTACTTTTACGGAAATAGTTAAGCGTTGAACTTACTGCGTTATTAGGATGAAAGGCATAACTGGCGGGTGAATTATCCACAATAATCACCTTTTTTAAATCACGCCCCAACCTTGTCAGATCCTGGAATCAACTGTTGGATACTAATAACAGCATTAAACTGATAAATTCCCAATGAAAAGCAATAAAGATGCTGAATCTCGGTTACTGTTATTTCTGTTGCGAAATACTTTGTATGTGCAGCACCTCAAAAATCTTTTGGTTCAGATTATTGGTACTTTTACTACAAAAAATCCTGCATGCGCAAGGCCCAAGAAGGCCCCTGCTCACTTCCTCAGGTAAAGTGCACACCATTCTGAGAACGGATAGTAGAATAAAAGGACTGGATTTAGGTGCCATGTATAAGAAGACATTTTACGATGCTAGTTACTGTGTTTCATCCTTTAGCTGTAAACACAGGCCGAATTAAGCGTGCAGGTAGGAGCGGGAATTATCAGTACAGCCTCCTACCCGTCGTGCACTGGACAGCCATGTAACTAATTTGCAAGATGGATATGTGACAGAAGGAGAACAAACGGAGTAAGAGAGGAGTGAAAAAAAAGGGAGTTAACTCCAGTTACAAAAAACTATTTCAAGGAAATGCTTTTTATAAGAATAACATGCTGACTAGGCGTTTAATTTCCGTATCATCAGGATGGAAGAATTTGCCGAGAACAGACCAGTTCTTGAAGCAGAATCTGAGAAAGGATATTTTGGCCATATAAATCTTTTATGTTTATAGACACTCATAAATCGTCTGGTATGACTAAAATGTATTGATATCTTGTAAGATTACGTAAGACTGCATCACATCGTGGCTCAGTGCGTAAAGTCGACATTCGCCAATGTGAGCCCTCTGATGAGAATTGGATGGCTCAACAAAATATCGTTTTATATCACAGATTTGTTACTTTTAAGATTGATTCGATAAAACAAATACAAAAGCGAACCTTCACATAATTACCCTTATGAAATACACAAGCTTCTCGGAACAACCGCGCTCGAAACACACCACGCTTATCCAACAGATCGGCCACCGGGTCGGCATACTGAAATTTTGAAAATTTTTGAATCATTTCAATCGTTTGAACCTTATTTTTTGAAAATCAAAATTAACAACAAGTGCTTTATACATGACAACATCCCAAAAAACTGTTACTAATAATAATATTCGATGAGTAGTAAAAAATTTGAAGAGCAAATGACAATACAAGAAAAAAAGTAAACTATGCTGATAGTTTATTTAATTACGATTAAATAGCTAACCATATAAACAATCAGGCTCAACCAGATGAACTGGTACGGACTGCTACTGTGACCAAACCAAAAAATAAGAATAACTACTTAGGTTACCCCGAAGAGAACTGGAAGTACGCAATTCAGGAAAGAAAAGACTGGCACAATTGCGAAGAGCATGTGGGAGCGTTTCAATAACATCACTAACATAGAATCCCCGTACCGGCGGTTTAGGGATCTCAACACTATCGG